ACTAACATGGCTGGAAAGTGTAAGAAGTGGCGTGTTTTGGGTGAAAATTGATTTCGGGCCCGAGGCTTACTTCCGGGTGTCCTTCCGCCCAGAGTGCGGTGCTTCGGTTTGACCTAGATATGCCTTGTATGCGTTCTGGGGGTGTTGTCGCTATGCCTCGCGCGACGGGTTATTGTGCTAATCTCAGTGTTAGGATTTTCTTTATACTTTTCTTAATAATACATAAGGGTTTTCTCTTTCCGACCATATAAGTCATTATGGTGGCTAAAATCTGGGTGATGGGTCTAATTCCACGTGAAAATGGCCAATTTTTGGCATTATTTTTCATCGAAAAATTCTTTTTCTCCCTAAAATTTACTAAAATGTGAGAGGTGAAAGAAATTGAAATTCTATTGTTCTCGTAGCTAGAGCAATATCCTTCATTTGCAAACACAGTGTTTTGGCTCAAGAGGTATTTCCTGAAAGAGACGGTCGCTAGAGTTGAGGGTATGCAGAATCGAATTAAGACCCAAAATAAACTGGGGTGTGCCCCCTCAAATAGTTTTTGGACAAATACTAGCACCTGTTCAAGTACAGTAGCTAAATTCTGACTCACTGATGTCACTAATGAAAAGTAGTGGATGCCACTTGAAATGTCTGAAAGTTTTCTAAATTCATCCATTTGCTTGAGTAACTTGTGTAAAATGTTGTTTCTTCCTGCAACATTTTGTATTCAACAATATATCTTTTTCTCATTGTTAAAAGGATAACATACTCTAATAGATTTATGTTGTGACTTTATGTCCTGCAATTTTTTATTAATGAGAGTTTGTGGCATTTTGTCTTGTACAAATGTTTTTTTCAGTGAGCCTGTTTGAATCGGAAGAAGACCAGAACCTGGCCCTGGCTGTGACGTCCCAGTACCAACCACACAAACACGAGCTGCTGTCTTGTCTGGGCATGGGGGGACGGTGGGTGACCTGCCAACCTGACCTACAGGTAAATCACAGCCTCCTCAACATTTGCTTTCATTATGCCAGCTTCACATAAGGAAAACATTGTGTTTCTGTTGTCTTTCTCCAAACACACGGTCAATGACCTGGACCAGATGTCTGTCACCATGGTAACTGGCACTGTATCAGATACCCTGAGGTGTTGGGTTACATTATGTAGCAAGTGGCAGAATAGAGTTGGAGGGGTTGGTTACCATATACTATCTGTACCAGTAGTAGATGAATGTGTTTGAGTAAGAATAAACAGAGCAGTAGTTTGTTAGGGTGGACTACATGTATGTGAGGGTACACATTATGCATTTGCTTTGCAAATGTTACTTTCCTATAGTTGGCTAGGTCCTTTTGCTATTCCTGTAGATTCTGTATCTATAGCATTATGTGTGACAGGCTGTATAAAAGTTCTAAATGGGAACTATGTGGCTCCAGGTGTCTTACTGAGGGACGACTGCGTGTGCGAGATGTCGGTTAGCTTGAGGAATGAATACCCTCTAAAATATATAGCATTACCAAGATATACTTGATTCTTCCCTTTGTTTCAGTTGGACCCACCAGACTCGTCCCTACTGTACCTGAAAGGGGCTAGTCTTAGCTTTCTTTTCACCGACGTGTGGACATTGGCCTCATCACAGCAAGGACGTTTCCTACGTATCCTTCCACACTACTTTCAGACTCCTCTAGATCTATTGAATGCAGTGAATGTTTTTATGAAAGATAAATAATTTTACGTACAAAATTTCCTAATGTTTTTCAAGAGTTAAAAAGGGAAGATGGGCAGATGTAGGTTGCATCATGGCCAATATCACCATTTGTTTTTGATGTAGTTACTGTATAACGATTACATTGTACTTGAGTGTATATATGTAGCCTTGACTTCTTAATCAGACATTTTAAAGGACGTTATGGAGAAGGTGGCAAACAAAACTGTAAGGTGAGGTATTGTCTTGCCATTTCATTCTAATAATATACATGTACATGTACCATATTTCTTTATAGCAACTATCATTAGCACATGTCATCTTAAAGGAAGTCTCACTACTAGAAGCAATTGGTCTGGTTCTATACTAGATACTATTTTCTGAATCCCGAAAAGTAATTGGTGACTTGACATTGAGTTTGGACAAAGGCAATACTAGTAGTTCTTAAAAATCATGTGTGCAATGTGTTTCTGCATGGATACTTATCAATAATAATTATTCATGTTACATAAATGTACATAAACTCGGTAACTTTGTTTTCCATTTGGTTTGGCCAAAAAGTGAATTCTTTGAGTTGCCTCAACAATCTTCATTTTCAGTATAGGTCTGAGGTGTCTATATATACAGAGAATGTTTTTCTGAGATATTTTGGTACTGAGCTAAATGAGAGCATATGAGAGTGCCACTCACTCAAGGGATGTCGAATTCGGAAGATTCGAGGACGAATCTTGAAAAGAAAAGGGGGAGTAGGTTTAAAAAACACACCTTGTATGATGGTAGTGGTATGCCTCACCAGTGGGTTCGTCAGTTGAACGCCACCCGTCATGGGGAATTTCGGCCCTTAGTTCAATATTCCCTCGGGGTGGGGGGCCAGCAGTGCAAAAAGCACCACCACCCACTGGTGAGCTGTCGCCATCAGTCCTGACGATTGACTTTTAAAACATTGTTCCATTACTGGTGCAGCGTTCGAAGTTCGAAGCGGAGTCAGAGTTCGAAACACCTGACGGCTGGTGACTGTCATAGGTGAATGCTAACGGTCGCTTCGCTTCCGCCTTTCCTCAAGTAGGTACTTGTTCCAGATCCATGCAGATCCTGCCTCCGCTGCTTCTGCTGCTGCTCTTGTTGTTGATTTGATTTCTTTTCTGCTGAGACCCATCTTGTTTAGCCATTTGTGAAGAGATGCGGCAACAAACCCTCTGCATCCTAATTCGAAAGGGTAGCATGATGACCTCCAGCCTTTGTCCCTGCACACTGCCTCCAGTTCCGCATATCTTGTTAACTTCCGTTCATAAGCCTCCTCTATATTGCCCTCCCATGGCACTGAAAGTTCTCCAAACACCACCTCTCTAGAACTCTCCGACCAGATTACTATATCAGGGCGCAATAGCGTAAGAGCAATTTCCTGTGGGAAACCGCCTTCCCCATCCAGGTCGGCCTTTACTTTCCAGTCGTTTGCAGCTGAAAGGATGCTAGGTTTACGCTTGGAGCTGGTGTCTTTCCTCGGCTGGGAACCTTCCTTCAGAAATGGGGTGAAGTACTGATTACCGGCGGGTACCTCCTCGGCGTTGACACATTCAACTCTCCCCTTGATAGCGTCCACTATCACTCTCAGTACATTGTTGTGCCTCCACGTATATTTCCCACTAGAGAGTGCGGATGGACATGCGCTGAGGATATGTTGCAAGGTGCCCTTCTGCCCACATGCTGCACAACAGTCTGACCGCTCCTCATACCATTTACTCAGATTCGCTGGTGTCGGTAGAAGATCGTACGTGGAGCGCCACAGGAACGAGATGCGGAGAGGTTCCATCTGCCACAGGACATTAAATGAAATGTTCCTTTGCTCAACACTCTCCCAGGTTGTCCACATTCCCTGCTTAGCCTGTCCGGCTGCTACAGCAACCCTCTTCTCTTCTTCCTGTTCTCTTACTTCCTGCACAACCATCTCTCTTCGCTCCTTCTCCGTTGCCGATGACCACCACTTGTGACGAATCAGCCCAAGTCCTTGACGGCCAGTCTGAGTCGCACCAACTACTTCCTTGTGCCTAAGCCTCGCCTCAGCTTCTTCTACCGCAGCACTTACTCTCCACTTTCTTCCAGACCTTAAATCAGGCTGAAAGTTTCTAATCACTGGGTCTTTGGAGTTACTTAAGGTCATGGAGGTTCTCACTTTGGCCACCTTAAACTCTTCCACAAGTGATCGCACTGGGATATTCAGCTTTGCCTTCCTACTGTGAATTGCAATGTTTGTGAGGCTGTTCGGCACTCCCAGCCATTTCTTTACATACGTATTGATGTTGCGTTCCATGGCTTCCACGTGGCTTAAAGCTACCTCATACACTGTTAAAGGCCACATGATCCTTGGCATAAGCCCATACTGTAGACACCAAAGCTTCAGTTTTCCAGGCAGACCACTGTTGTCTATTGCCTCTAACCCCTCTCGTATGAGCTTTGCTGTCTCTTGAACTCGCTTAGTGTCTTTGAGGTCCTCAGTGTACCACCGACCAAGGCTCTTGACAGGCTGCTCTTGGATGGTTGGGATCTGCTCCCCACTCAGGTTGAAATGGTAGTCAGCCAGCGTCCCTTGTTTTAGGACCAGACTCCTGGATTTCTTGGTTTTGAACTTCATTCTAGCCCAAACCATCAGTTCATCCAGTCTGTCCAAGATTCTCTGAGACGCTGTGGTATTTGGGTTTAGGAGTGTCAGATCGTCCATAAATGCTCTGATCGATGGCAGTTCTTCCGAACCCTCGAGCGACACCCCAGGTCCCATTCGCTCTGCGCTCCTTGTCATCACCTCCATTGCTAGCACAAACAGGATTGGTGATATAGCACACCCCATCGGAATGCCAACTTCCAATCTCTGCCACTCAGTTGTGTACTGTGTGGTTGAAAAACGCATATGAAAGTTGTCATAGTATTGCATGACATAGTTTGTGACTTTGTCTGGAATCCATAGGAACTGCATAGCAAACTTGATGAGTGCATGGGGTACTGAGCCATAGGCATTTGCTAGATCCAGCCAAACAACACTCAGGCTCTTTCTTGACTTCTTCGCTGACTGTATGGTATGCCATATCATGCTGCTGTGTTCCAGGCACCCTGAGAAACCAGGCACACCTGCCTTCTGCACAGATGTGTTGACAAGTCCGTTCTCTAAAAGAAACGACGTCACTCTGCTTGCTAGCACACCGAGCATTATTTTACCTTCCACGTTCAGCAAGGATATTGGCCTGAACTGTCCTATCGTACTAGAGTTCTCTTCCTTAGGGATGTACACACCATCCGCCTTGTTCCAGGACAGCGGGACCACATCCTTTCTCCAAACCACCTTCAGCAATCTCCAGAGGACTCTCTTTAGCTTCTCACATTTCTTGTACACTTTGTACGGGACTCCATTTGGACCAGGTGCCGACGCTGCTCGCGCCTTTTCGATAAAACTATCAACCTCCTTGAACCTGGGCTCTGATACATCAAACTCAACACCTGGCTGTGGTGGTCTTACTAAACCTCCAATGTCGGGCATTGGTGCGTCACGATGCTCATCAGAGTATACACCCCGCAGGTGGCCCTCCAGGTCCTTCTTCTGAATGTTCAGTGTCCCGCTTTTACTCTGTTCAAAAAGCTTTTTAGTGAACCGATGCGGGTTTTGGAAAAAGGCCCGCCTAGCCTTTTCTCTGTCCTTTCTCTTCACTCGCTGTCTTTCAGCACGCTTAAGTGAATCGAGTTTCTGTCGAACTTGACGCTGCAGCGCTTCAAGTCCTGGCTTCTCATCTGATACTGCCTTCCTCCATTTATGCTTTAGACATCTCAACTCTTTCTTCAATCTAGCGATTATCCGCTGTCGCCTGCTTGGTTTGGATACAGGATCTCTTTCACGCGGTTTGTCAACTCCAAACCTCTCTTCTCCAAAGTTATAAATCAAATCGCCAATCACTTCTAACTTTTCCTTAGCTGATCCTTTCAGTTTCTTCTTCAGCATCTTGCTGGTGTCTTCATCAAACTCACGCCAAGTCTTCTCATCTGCCATCTTTGGCCATTTTACCTTTCCCTTCCTGCCTCTAACCTCCCCAGCCGACACTTGCGGTGGATTTACCTGGGTACTGTGGTCTGCAACCTGCCCTAGGTTATCTCTCGACTGACCTGGATAATTCCCTCCAGTGCGATCCGCTTCTATCGGCTGGTTATAAATGTTCGGCAAATCCGGGATACTCTCTTCCCTCGGTGTTACAGCCTCACTCGTCTCTACCACTGTTTTAACTGCGTAGCATCTCAACTTCCTTTGGTGGATTCTTAAACCTCTGGTGCTTTGAAATGTTCTGCCGCACCAACAAACTGGACACTCAGAGCCGTACGCCATTTTCCGAGCTCGTGGTCGTAAACAATTCCTGTACGTCTCCGTGTCGTCTGTCCTAACGGGTCTATTATCCTCCCCCCTCTTTCGATCAAGACCCTGGGGGCATTTCTTCTTATATGAACTTGTAGCAATCAGTGGGGTATGTACTCATCTCTGAGCTGGTGTCCGGACTGCTCATCCCTACACCCCCCGCGCTGGCCTTTCCCAGCCGTCAGCTGTCTCTCCGCGCCGTCTCCAGTCTATTCCCGGTTGTCATCCAGTCTATTCCTGAAAGTCACTGGTGTCCAGAAAGATAAGTTTAAAAAACACACCTTGTATGATGGTAGTGGTATGCCTCACCAGTGGGTTCGTCAGTTGAACGCCACCCGTCATGGGGAATTTCGGCCCTTAGTTCAATATTCCCTCGGGGTGGGGGGCCAGCAGTGCAAAAAGCACCACCACCCACTGGTGAGCTGTCGCCATCAGTCCTGACGATTGACTTTTAAAACATTGTTCCATTACTGGTGCAGCGTTCGAAGTTCGAAGCGGAGAACAACTGTTACACAAGTAGTGTAACAGTGGGGGGTTTATAGGCGCTATACCAACTGACCCGGCCGATTTAGCTGATTTGATAGGAGCGTCGGATTCGATGCTGGTGCTCAGGAGGTCGTGGGTTCGAACCCAGGACTTATCTGTTTGTACTCGCTCCTCCTGTTTCTTTCTTACACATGTCCTTCCACCCACAGGCCCTGTTTTGAGCAGCCTCTATCCTTGGAGAATGTACCAGATGCCTACAGACTGACTACAACTCACAGGGGAAGACAAGTCATGCAGATATAGACATTCTAGTGCCAGCTGAAACCTCCAAGGGAAATGGGGTTAGCGGAAAAACATGTCCAGTCCAGTACCTTTTTCAGACTGGTCTGGTTATTCCCTCTCCTAGACTGGACAGTTTTTTCTGCCAACCCGGGAAAAATATGGTTCAATATCATATAATGGGATCATCATAGATACCAGAGCAGTGTTCTAGCCAGTCTTTTACATACTTTTGACAGAATTTTGCTGACATGACAGATGAAAAATTTGGCCAATCCATCATGTTTGATGGACAAAAATCAGTGTAAAATATTTAGTGCTTAGTCAAAATTTACCCATCAAAATGCAGGAAATATTGTTTTAGAGGGTCAAGATTTCAAATTTTTCCCAAGGGAGCATGTTTCCAGAGAAAATTGAGATAATGGAAAAGAAAATCAGGCTGGCTAGAACAGTGTATCAGATTATGTCCAATTGTTGCTATGTTGATGATGAGATGCATTTTAATGCACTGTCAACATTTGGATGTTGTGATTGAACTGCATGTTGAAATCTGGGTAAAATAAAGATAAAGCTTTATTGTTCACAAAATTTAAGCAAATTAAATTAATAAGGTAAAAATCACATGATTTTTTACCTCCATGATTTAAGAAATTCGTGAGCACAAATCTACATGATTACATTTTCTTTATTCAGTTTACAAAACAAGATATTATTGCAGCAATGCTCATATTGAGATGAATGAAAATGTTCAAAATTGCAGAATTTATGTTACAACATATCCACAGATCTTGTGTGTTTCAAATCCAAATTGTTTTGGTTGGTGTACAACAAAAGCAATGCATCATCATGCCTGTATGACAACAATTTCAGTATACATGTATTTACTCTTAAAGAGAAGTATTTATAGGCTTTTCAAGGGATCACTATTTAATAATACACAGTCATGTAATTATAGCTTACAATACATTCCAATGCTGGCAACATTAGTGATAATCATACAATACTAAAGCTGTAGTAGTCAAAAACAATCTCAGTCGCAACAAACTATAAAATTGTACAGTTCTCAATTAGTGGACTTTTTTTCTCTATAAACACATACAGTCATGTACATGAGATCAGCCTTGGTTATGCATTAACAAATAAAAGTATGTCCTTATTTTGTTTCTGTGTGTTAATTGTACAATTAGTAAATGCAATCTCACATGTACAAATTATAGAATCTCAAGAAACTCTTACTCCTTAGTTCATCACTAGTATACATGTGGTACACATGTATATGGATATAATTCCACTCATAATTAAGTACAATGTACTTGTGAATCACATTTATAATTTACAAAAGGTAGATTTAAAAGATTTGTTTTCAAAATATTTTTCTGTACAATCCTGAGCATTCATGTTTTAAACTTCCACTTCAGTCAGTCATGAAATTAGTGCACTACTTAATAACTATTCTTATACAAGTACTTAAACTTAGCCCCTGCCACACATAGCCAAATATGGCCTTCCAAGTACTGAAAAACTCAAACAAGTACTCTCACCTCTCGAATAAACGTACGTACGTTTATTTTTTTTTTGCCTCAAAATCCGCCCGGTACGTTCTTATTTCAGACGGTACGTTTATTTTTTCTTTATAATCGGAAAAGTTCTGGGAAAATTTCCGGTCCTGTACGTAAAATGACAATAAAAGACTGAAGTACACACAACTTCTCCCAGCACAATTTGAAATGTCCCAGTACGTTCTATTTTGGACAGTACGTAGGTCGAGAGTAAAGTGGTACGTTGAAAGCAAAGTGGACTGTGGTTGGCTGGTGTTCAGTGAGGTTTGAATTGTATAGTTTGACTGCACCAGCCAAATGTTTCAAAATGTTTAAAACATATTCAGGTGTGGACGGTAGGTTGTGCCATGGTTGGCTTGTGTTTGCGATGTGTTGAGGTGTAGTTGGGAGTCAAATTTAACTCAAATTTGATATGATCCATATAGAAAGGCGTGACCTAAATCTAGTCAGACTGAACCCAAACTTCTGCCAACCTTGGGTGGTTGAGGGGAGGGTTCTGAATGTGTGACAGGCATTACAGTACAATTCTAGTCCCCATACTTATCAGGCAGCATTTTATATGGGTTTAGGATTCCCTTTGGATCCATTAAATCCTTGATCTGCTGCATGAGCTCCACAGCCTTTTGCGTTTTACTGAAATGGATGAAGTCTTTCTTCTTGAACCCCAGGCCATGCTCTGCACTGATGCTGCCCTTGTACCTCGATGTCCACTCGTAGATGAACGGTTCGATCTTTTCCAGAAGGTCGTGGTCGTAGGTGGGGCTCGTGATGTTCAAGTGCAAGTTTCCATCACCGAGATGCCCATAGGCGACCACTCTGGTAGCCAGGTCGTCCACTCTCTCTCTCATGTCAATTACGAGGTCGTAGAAGTTGGCCAACGGGAGAGAGATGTCGTACTTGTACACGTAACCGTCGTGGAGTAACGCCTCGGCTAACCGCTCGCGGATCGACCAGATGGACTGGATTTTGGTACTGTCCGTCGCGACCGTGCCGTCTTCCACGATGCCTTCTCCGAGAACTTTCTCTAAGAAAAGGTTCAGCTTCTCTTCGTCGTGGGCACCATTGGATCCAGCCGTCTCAATCAGGACGTAGAACGGTTTATCACTGATGGGGTTGGTCAAGTTGAGGTTACTTCTGACCAAGTCAATACAAGGGCTGTCCATGAACTCAAATGCTGACAGGATTTCTCCCAACATTCCTCTGGCCTCCTTTAACGCCTTCAAGCAATTCTGAAAGTCGCTGACGCCGAGGATGGCCAGGTTGATGGACTGTGGTTTTCTGGGACAGAGGATTGAGACTGCCGTGACAATACCGAGGGTTCCCTCTGAGCCTATGAATAACTGTTTCAGGTCGTAGCCGGTGTTGTCTTTTCGAAGAGTTGAGAGGCAGTCTAGGACGGTGCCGTCAGCTTGAACCGCCTCCACCCCGAGTACGCTTCCGTGGAGCGAGCCGTACCTCATCAGTCGCAGGCCGCCTGCGTTGGTGGAGATGTTCCCGCCGATCTGACAGCTTCCCTTGGCACCCAGGTCTAGCGGCATCATCAATCCGACATCAGACAGGTGCGTGTTTAACGCCTCTAGTACGCAGCCCGCCTGGCACACCAGCGTACCCGATATCTCGTCCACACTGACAATTTTGTTCATGAGAGACGTGGAGAGGATGATTTCGTCGAACACCGGCACGCTGCCGCCCACCAGACCCGTGTTCCCGCCCTGCGGCATCACTGCCAGGTTACGCGAGTAGCAGTACTTCATGACCTCCGACACCTCTTCTGTCGTCTTGGGGCGGAGAAGCAGCCTGCTGCTGCCGCGACACATTCGGAGCCAGTCCGTGTTGTATCCGACCAACTCTTCAGGATCTGCGATCACCCTACCGGGTAAGAGCCTCTCAAATACGGCTACATCTTCACTGTTTATCCTCGCAAAGTTCCCCCTCTGTACATTGTACCGTACACTGGTCAGCTCTGGTTCTTCCTTCTGTAAAGATCTGGCCTGAAGACAAAACCTTCTACTTTGTAGCAAGGAAGGCTGACAGACTGTCAGGTAGTTTGCATACACCCTGGTGTATGATGCTACAGTTCTGTGTAAACACCGATGGCCACTGTTCAAGAGAGTCAGGCACTGGCGGAGATGGCCTATTGAAACTGGTAGGTGCAGTGGTGCCATTGTGGTGCTCGGCTGTAATGTTGGTAAAGAAGAAAATAAGTTGCATGCCAACATGTTGCAAAAAGTTGAGTAGTACTGTAAACATTAACTTGTGTTTTGTTCCTGTCAACACAGAAATTTCAACCTTTAAAGGATATAGGTACTAGTAGGTACCGTAATTCCTAATTTTTTTGGCGGTACTTTTATATTCACGGTTTTTGCGGTCATTTCTGTACCGCGAATTTATCATTACCACAAATAAATAATTTCCTTTCTTCTGCACCTGCCGCCATTGCAAACATATACTAGTAGTCCCACAAACAGAAACGTGTCCTTTTTTGTCAGACAGCGAAATTTTGCTACCAAGATTAGAATATAATGTGATTTACTATGTGTGTAGCCATTTCCTGTCTGTTATTACTGTGTGTGATTCTTCTAAAGTTTACCCTGGGACCCAGACTGGATATCGGCCCGTTAGCCGATTCCCTTCGGTGGCCCGAAGCAGTACGCCCGCTTACAAATATATATATCACACAGGTCGTTTTAAACACACGCTAACGTTACATAGTTACCAAAACTGACAAACATGTTGACTTCCTAGTCACGTTTACCACTGCCCCGCCCCCCTCCCTCTCTACAGCCCAATAAAACTATATCGAGACGGTAAATTTCATAAGAACGTAGCCACAGTGCCTACCTGTACCCTACTCAGATAGGCGTAGAGATGAACAAACGCGAACAAAGTGTAAAACCTCGGCTCGCAAGGCCTTTAGTCCGAGTTCTGACGGTCTTCACAGGTGAAACATCAGCTGTACTTTGAACTTTTACCGCTGGGTGGCTGTTTCGCATGCGCGGACTGTCACTCTCGTGAAATCTCGCGAGACAATAAAATTGCGACAGGTGTCATGAAAAGTCATACAATATTAGTATTTCTCCTCAAACCAACGATATTTCAGGTAAGTTAAGTTTGAGACGTAAAATCAAACACAGAGACAAAGCATATAAAGCTAGTAAAAAGACTGGACGCCCGTCTTTGGAGGCAAAATTTCTGAGGCTCAAACGCGAGGTACAGCGTGAGCTGAGGAAAGCCTACTGGGAGTATGTAGAAGAAATCATCACTCCAGAGAGTGACGAAAACAGTGACACATGTAGAAAGAAGTTCTGGAAGTTTATTAAACATATGCATCAGCGTACTGACCATTCTGGAATTGCACCACTGAAAGATAAAGGTAGACTTATCACTGATCCACAGCAAAAAGCAGAACTTCTAAATGCACAGTTCCACTCCGTGTTCACACGTGAGACTCCAGCAATACCTACTCGACGTGGTAGGAAGACCAAACCTATGCCTAAAATTAGTATCCACAAACAAGGAGTTCTGAAATTACTACAAAACCTTAACCCAACAAAAGCTGCTGGCCCTGATGGCCTTAGTCCAAAAATCTTTAAAGAACTCTCTGAACAGCTAGCTGATCCCTTGACACGAATATTTAAAAAATCACTCTTAACAGGTAAAATCCCCGATGACTGGAAGCACGCAAACGTGACTCCGGTCTTTAAAAAAGGCCAAAGGTACGATAAAGCAAACTATAGACCTATTAGCTTAACCTGTATTGCTTCTAAGTTAATGGAACATGTTATTTGTAGTAGCCTGATGAAGCATGCGGGACAGCATGATCTCTTCTATCAGCTACAAAACGGTTTTCGACCCGGAAGGTCATGTGAGACACAGCTTCTGGAACTTGTTCATGACATTGTAAACAACATGCAGGAAGGTCTCCAGACAGATGTCTGTGTGCTTGATTTCTCTAAAGCCTTCACTTCACTTCACTTTATTTATTTATACAGGAAATTGCGCTCAGGTCATTTGACCTGTTTTTCAGACAATCCTGTTTTTAAAAACAACGCAATACATTCACAAATCACAATCACAATAACAACAGTTACACAATATACAGTTATTCTACCAGATACGTTACATATCATGCATCTTTGTTAAGCGACGCTTAAATGTCCTGAACTCAGTCAGTGTTCTCAGTTCAATGGGAAGGTCGTTCCACAGCTGTGCGCCGTAGTGCTGTAGGCTACCACGATATGCTGCCACTCTTGCTGATGGACAGTGAAGCTGGTGGGGGTCATAGTCCCGTAAACGTTTAGCTGCTGAACGTGTGTTAGCCCTTAAGGACGGAGGTGACATCCATTTGAACAGTGCTGACATGTACTGTGGCGCTTTCCCGCGTACTGACTTGTAGACTGTAGCCAGAGAAACCGTTTCTAGCCGCTTACTGACAGGCTCAAGTCCTGCCTCAGCTAGCAAGGTATGAACTGGGACACGGTCTTGAAGCTTGTATCCCGTGATGATTCTTGCCGCTCTGTTTAACAACCTGTCAAGTTGTAAAGTTTGTGTCTTGTTACATTGTACCAGACTTGGGAGCCATGCGGTGGCGCAGTAGTCCAGATAAGACAGCACTATTGTCTGGCACATAGTTTGAAGAATTTCAGTTGATACAAAACCCTTCGCACGTCTCATGGCACCCAGACCACCAAGGATTTTCTTCGTTACTTTCTCGACATGTGATGTCCACTGCAATGCTGGGTCCAGAGTGACACCCAAGTATGTAAATGAGTAGCCTTCGATAAGGTAGGCCACAAACGACTCATCCGGAAGCTTCAGTGGTACGGCATTGAACCTCAGACCAGGAACTGGATAGAAGACTTCCTTCATTGTCGTACCCAGTCAGTGGTCATCGAGGGGGTGACTTCTAGCAAATTGGATGTCATTTCAGGGGTCCCACAGGGTTCGGTGCTCGGACCTTGCCTGTTTTTGTATTATATAAATGATATCACTGAAAACTTACACTCTACAGCTCGCTTATTTGCGGACGATACCATGATTTACATGACGGTCTCATGCCAGGGTGATTCACTGAAACTCCAGAACGACCTTGATACTTTGGCAGAGTGGGGGGAAAAGTGGGCTATGGAGTTCCACCCTGACAAATGTGAAGTGCTCAGCATCACCAGAAAGAGATCTAGAACTCCCATCGTCTACGACTACTCCCTGCATGGGCATATTCTCAAACATGTCAGCTTTGTCAAGTATCTTGGTGTCCTTATATCTGGAGATTTACGATGGGACCTTCATATAGATCACGTATCCTCAAAAGCCAACAATACCGTTAACTTCCTGAGACGCAATATTAACATTGCAAATCCACAGGTCAAAGCCCGGGCTTACAAAACCCTAGTGCGCCCAATACTAGAGTATTGTCAGACGGTATGGGATCCTTATACCCAAAGTAATATAAGGAACCTGGAGGCTGTCCAGAGAAGGGCGGCTCGATTTGCCCTCCGCCGCTACAGACGGCAGTCTAGTGTGGCTAACATGTTAGTCACACTTGACTGGCCTTTGCTCGTAGAAAGGAGGCGAAACGCCCGCTTACAGATGTTTTATAAGATCACAAATAACATTGTAGCTATGCACATGCCGCTAGCAAGCAAGGGGCTACGAGCTCCCTCTCGCACTGAAAACAGCTTAGCCCTCCACCCTCCAAGCTCACGAGCTGACTATCACCTAAATTCCTTCTTCTCTAAAACTGTTAGAGAATGGAACCGCCTACCAGATAGTGTGGTTAAAGCCAAGTCACTGCAGGCATTTAAAAATGCCATTCACACCTTGTAACCCCAAACAAGAGTCACGGGTACTCACCGCCACCCAGCTGGCGGACAGGGAGTGGCGCCCCTGCCCACTGAGGAGCTTGTAGTCTGTAGCCAACAGACTACAACAACATATATATACACATATACACAATACAAAATAAGAGCGACACCCCAAATCCAAACCGAAAACCCCTACCCCTCACCGTGCCGGAGCCCTCAACTTATTGAGGTTGTGCACGTACGGGAAAGAAGAAGAAGAAGAAGAAGAGACGTTACCAATGTAAATTAATAATAATGTATGGAGTTACATCAGAGACTGGAAAGGTAGTACACTCCATCCATTTTTTTGCAACGTAAAAAGGCCTTCCACACATGCGGTGAATAAGATTGCATTTGATTGGTACAGCTCAGAAAGTAAGAGAAAGGTCTCTGTTTTCCTCCTTCCAGACACTGCACGTGTCTCACAATCCAGGACATCCAACAATTATCAATGGCGACGTCTAGCGGACGGTAGCTGCATCACACTCATGTTAAATTGGCTTCGCCCGGAAGCGCGTCCACACTACTGAGCTCTGTTCACCTTAAATGCCCTTTTCAATGCGAGCCAAGCATGTATTGCACTACACATCCGCAGTGTGATTCAGCTGTGGCCTGTGATGTTTGCTGATATACTAGTACTAGATATGGAACTAAGAAGGTCTTACTTAAAATGCAGTTTCAAAGTAGATCATGGGAGACGCTTGCAACAAACATAACTCTTTAATGGGACTTGCAAGAAAGTAGAAAACAGAGGCTTGCCTCAGAACTCAGGTTTAAGGCGTAAAATTACTTAAAAAACAATGAGTACGTTATGTAGAATTTGTAGTTTTTCATGGTCCTACGAGACCTAAGAATATTAATGGTCCTACGAGAAAGGAGGATCAAGAGTATAAGCTACACATTCACATGTAGATGGTTTCCCAATCCACGGACCAGTTAGCAGGGACGAAGGTTAAGTTAAAGACAAGGAACCGCAAAAATGTTCACAAAAATCATGAGCACTATATGAGTACATGCTTGGCATTAATTGTTGATTTTATTTTTATTTCTTTATTAATTTTTTTGTATTTTTTTGTGATTTTATATTAATTTATTTTTATTTCATGTCAACAGCCCTTCCTGCTAGTCCCGGTTTGGAAATGTGACTCTAGCACCTTCGATTATGAAACATATCTTTTACCTTTTCATAAGTTTACCATTCACTAATAAGCGAGGAGAAGTCTAATTCACTTAGTTGTAGTTACTTCACAATGTATATACGTAACGCTGTCTGTATGATATTCTTTTCTTGTGACCTGTACTTAACCCAGTTGGTATATGTGTACAATAAAGGGAATAAATTCATTCATCTATGATATTTCATAAATCAGCCTCGAAATTTATGGGCATATGGCGGGATAGGAGGAAATCCAAATGACCTATAGATATCTTTAGTTTATTCTTTATTTCAGGCGCAATTGGCCCATAGTAGACAAACAATTAAAATAACAGGTGCACACATAATAAAAACGGTAGGGTTCGGTACATATACATACGAGAAGGGCCTTACCGGTAGACTAGGCCGATATAGTGATCCCAGTAGTGACTGGTGGATGATAAGTCTGAGTGGATTGCGAGTTTTATGATTCTGTTATTACTGTTGAGGAGCCGATTGGTGAAAGAGTGTGTTAGTTTACGTCTGCGAGCATCGAAGGTATCGACAACCTCAGTCACAAACATTCGACTGGCGCTCTCGAATTTTCCATATGAAAACAATATTCTAAAGGCGTTGTTATAAGCCGTTCGGAGTTTGCGAATAGCGCCCAGAGTGTAGCGTGTCCACAACTGGGCGCAATACATAGATCTATGAAGCATATCGCATACATTCTGCGAGACATGATAATGTAAAAGTCAATGACCCCACGGAAGGGCATTGCCCTTTGGTTGTAAAACCAGGTATTGCCTTGAAGCGAAGTAAACATCTCCAGGCGAGACTATTCTGGGACATAGGACATTAATCATGCGTGCGTATAATATGTCACTGGCAGTCCATTTAATGTGATTAAGCAAGAAATCCTTAGAGCTATGGATTGACAGAGCTACTTATCCTTAACCTATACTAATGGAGCAAAGACACC